AATATACCCTCCTCAGACCCTCCCCACCCATTGGAAATTTCAATCCCCCTCCTTGGAGGAGGTATGGATATTTTCTGGAACTGCACAATATACCCTCCTCAAACCCTCCCCACCCTTTTGGAATTTCGACTCCCCTTTGGAAGGCGTGGATGTTTCTATTGATGTCTAATTGTGTTATCAAATGTGTTCTTATTGTTTCAATAGGTAACAGATGTTCCAAAGGAAGAATATGGAAGCTTTTACAATGGAGATTCCTATATCTTATTAAATACCTACAAAAAGGACCCAGATAGCATGGTAAGAATCACAATATGATACCTTATAATAGTGTAGACCTCTTAGGTTAAATCTTTTTCCATTTCAGACCATATATCATTCCCCAGAGCATCATTTATTTTATTTTATTTTATTTATATTTGTAAGCTTTGCCACAAGGGCAGGGAAACCCCAAAGAGCATTTCTTTGTTTAACAGTTGCACACGAGAAGACACATCTCCAACAAAATATCTTAATATTCTCAAGCAAATTACATGTGGTCTGGAACGGGAAACCCTAGATTATGATCAATGCCATTTTACAGGAAAGCTAAAATTAGCTCTAGCAGAAAGCATTTATTGACTTAACCACAGGACCAGCCCTATTTATATTTTGAGTTTTAATGCTTAAACTTAACTGATCTCTTTTTTTCCATTCATTATTTTTGTCAAGAGGGTAAGGCTGGTTAAAAATGAAAAAGGAGGTTGCTTGGATTGCATTAAATTTAACAGAGAAAACTGGAGGCTAGTCAAAAATATACGAAAAAGACCTAAAAGATATTTAGAAATCAGGTCACTTGAATGTTTTTAATCGAATGGGTAGTTCCAGAAAATATCCATACCCCTACTATGGGCGGCATCCATTTTTTTGCCCCCCTTGCCTTCGGAAATTATGAAATGGTTCAAGGCCCCTGGCCCAAGGAATTCCATATCTGTGTACCCCCCCTCCCCCCTGGAATTCCATATCATTATATATTCCAATGACACAACAATAACATGTGGGGGTCTAAGGCCATGTCTACACTATGCCGGATAAATTTGAATCCAAATTTTTATTTATTGAGTTAGGCCTACCGTCCATACTAGTCCGGGCGAATCCGGAACAATTCTTCACCAAAAACGAATTTTATCAGTGTGGACAAAAAACGTTTTTTTTGGTTTAGGTGTGAAAATKCGGATTCAAATTTATCTAGCATAGTGTGGACGGGGCCTAAGATTTTATATTTTGGATAGAAGGAGAGACAATACATTTTCATGAAATTAGTTTTGATTGACTTCCCAGCCGCCCTTCCCCTAGACATAAATAATTATGAAAAGCTGGCCCTTAATTTCTTTTATACTTAAGTTATTGATCACTTCTGGTCGCTGCGTTGCCGTTAACCATCAAGTGGATTGGAGCGGGGATGGATTTTTTTGGCATCTTAGCAGCAGATTGAGTAGCTTTGCTCTGAGTTGCTGCCAGTGTTCTCTTTTTTTCGCCAAAAAGTGTGTTTAATGAAATAGAAGAGATAACTAGCTAAAAACTAGTGTGAGCTGCGTCGGTGTTTCTAATGAAACAGTAATGATAAAAGGGTAAATTTTACACTGTGAAAAGATGAAAAAACTTATTGACATTTAGGATGCTAGTCCTTCTCGGAGTAAAAGAGAAATAGGTGGTAAAAAGGAGTGTATACTGGTGACACTGTCTTGTCGTTCATGAGTCAGAACAATGATCTTTGTTTTATTTTTTTGAATCTTTTAAAGGCTTTTGATTATGATGTTCACTTTTGGATTGGGAAATTTTCTACCCAAGATGAATATGGCACAGCTGCTTACAAGACTGTAGAACTAGACACCCTGGTGAGTGGACACAATATCTTATAGACACACTAAACCAGGATTCTCTTCCAAGATAGAGCATCTATATTTAAATAATAATAAATAATAAATAAATAAATATTCATGTATTCCAGTCATTGGGTCTTTTGAATTTCAAAGTGCTTGTATGTGTATTATTATTATCAATTTATCAATTTGTGAATTTCTTTACGTAAGTACCATAGGTATTTGTGAATATTCTTATGCTGAAATGAGGCCAACCCTGTGTTATGAGTCTGTAATCAATGAAGCAGAGTTTTCATGGTACACCACGCACTAATATTAAAAATTAAATTCAAATTATGAATCCATATGTTTTTTCCCCAGCTTGATGATAAGCCTATTCAACATCGAGAAGTGGAAGGGCATGAATCTGCTTTGTTCAAATCTTATTTTAAGAGCCTCACTTACTGGAAAGGGGGGTATGTATAGGGATATTTGCTTCTTGTTTGCCTTCCTCTTCTCACATAACATATTTAGGCACTGCCCCTGATTAAACGCAGCCCTTAAATAAGCACCTTAGTTAAGACCAAAATTATTAAAAAGCACTGCCCCTGTTTAATCATGACCCCCGAATTAACACTGCCTATGAAACCCAAAAAATTAATAAGTGATGCTGCACATAAATGAGTAAAATTAATACCGCATTGATGTATCACTGACAGTGAAGGTACATGTGATGTTTCAATTTAAATATTGTATATCACTTTCTTTAGCCTCTCTTTAATACAGCTAGTTTTACTCTTCAACTGTATAATGGATTTCTATGCGTATACCACTCCTGGGGGATGGCTTTAATAATCTCTAACAGATTTTGTAACCCAATAGACCATTTCACAGATCCCGTTACTCAACCTCAGCCTCGTCAGCGTGTAATATATTCTTTAGAAATTGCCTACAACCTTTAAAATTTTTAGGGGTTTCAATTGTTCGTTGATGTGTAAATTCCTTTCATTACTGCGGACTGTAGTCAAATTCTAAAGAATAATTACACGCTGACGAGGCTGAGGTTGAGTAACGGGATCCGTGAAATGGCCTATTGATAAGGCAGCTGATAGATCAATTTAGAAATAGATTTTTTAAATTAATATTGTATTTTTTGGGTTTGACGTCATCTACAGAGCTGATTCAGGTTTCAGATGTGTTGAACCAACCAGCTATGAGCCACGCCTTCTTCATGTTCACGGCACAAAGGTATGTAGGCATATATTAAATTATTATTAGGTAATTATTATTAATTGCACAAATAATTATAAAACACATTTTTTTCTTAGAAAAAGATTGAATGCAAGGAGATACCATTTTGCATGGACAATTTGACCAAGGACGATGTGTTTGTCATTGATCTTGGCCTCAAGATATTCCAGGTATACGGGTAATGTGCTAATACAAACTTAATATAGTAATGATGAGGGTTCCATTGCATCCCTATTGAGAAGCACTGTATTAACCGTAATTTGTTATTTTATTAGTGGAATGGTGATGATGCTAACAAGGATGAGCGATATAGTGCAGGACAATATATCCGCGTATTAAAGGTATCTATATTGTTGTCTATTAGTCTGCGGCATACCTGGAAACAGCTAGAGAACAAGGTGAAGGACAGGGCTCTGTGGCGTTCAGATGTCGTTGATGGCCTATGCCCCAAGAGGGGTGTACAGGCTTAGGAGGAGGATTGTTATCTTATTAATAGCATGTACCAAAGGATGCATTCATTTTTATAATGAGGGAATAAATAGGGTGCATTCATTTTTGGTATATGTGAGCACAGATTACAATTTCCTCCATCAATCGCATGAGTACATGTATGTGGTGTAATGGGTTAATTCATTTACTCAATACTAGATGTGATTCATTCTTTATGATTCATTTTATTTCAGTCAGAACGTAGTGGAAAGCCTGAAGTAATAGTTCTAGGTTAGTAGAATGATTAGAATGATTAGAATGATTAGATTCAGGGTTCTTCTGCATTTACCGCAAACCTATTGTATTCTTTGTTAACTTTGTTCTATTGTAGAACTTGGGTCTTTGGCTACCAACCCACTCAGCACATGCCTGACCACCCAATTAAGTTACCTTTCTAGGACGTACTTGACCCTCAGATGATCGGCACTTGTTTACTACCCCAGCACCCACTTGGTGTATACTGACCACCAACCCACTCAGCACATGCTAACCACCCAATTGATCCACCTAGGACATATACTTGACCCTCAGACCCCTAGCACTTTTTTTTTTAATTTTTTTTATAGCACTCATGTTTTTTGGGTACCCACTTCAATTGTTTAAAAAATCCTCCCAACCTCCCAAACCTTGTTTTGACCTTTCAAGGCCCCCAATGTTCCACTAAAAAAATTCAAGGGCCCCCCATTTTTTCCTCCATCCCCCCCCCCTCCCCTGACTTAAATAATAACTGGTCCCTAACCCAGGAACATGGCACTCGTGCATACATTACTCACCATCCACACAATTAATTTTGATTGACAGATGACCAAACACTAGATGATGTACCTGAAGAACTTTTAGAGGTTATTCCTAAAAGCTCAAATGAGGATCCTGATGAGGTATTATCTGATAGATCCAAAATATTAACTTTATATTAATGTCATTATTTGATATTGATGCAGGCATAACGTTTTTATTTAATAGGATTTAGAAGATCCTGATCCTAAAGAAAAAGTACTCTTTCAGTAAGTGGGTTTGTCACAAAAAAACTAGAGCTTTAAAGTTTTTATTTGTCAAGTGTTTGTTTTTTTTATTTGAACACTTTATTTAACTATTCATTCGTCCATCTATCCATCTATCCATCTATCCACCCACCCATCCATCCATCCATCCATCCATC